TGGACGCAGTTCTGCTTCTATTTCAAGTGTCACTTCTAATAGCAAGTATCTGTCACTGAGTTGAGTTTTCAATTGACTTTCGCTCCCTTTCGGTAGTGTTTGGGTTAAAAAACACTTTTCCAGCAGAATTATTATTGAAAATGAGCAGTTAATAAACATTGCTATAATTTTTCTTTTACTGCCATTTTTAGGTGTATTTAAGCTATTTCCGCTAAAACCCAGCCAACTTTTTCCTTTTTACAAATGAAAGATTAATTTCCGTTCCTAGGTTTGATTTTCTCCAGGTGGGGCTACGTACTTCATAAAGCCTATATAAGGTGGATATTTTGTTATGATTCCTTAAAGGGAAATCATATCATTAGTTAGMAATTTTCACAAAGGTGGTGTAAATCAGTCTACTTTTTGGCATGAAAAGTCTTTGGGCTAACAATGTTAGAACGTTTATTGAATGAAAGTCTGCTTTCAGTTTTTGTAACCGTTGTCTTACGTTTAAATTKTAACCTCCTCTTTGATTGAAATATTTTGTCCAACCGGTTATGAGTAATTTACTGTTAAGATACTACTACTATATACATATATAAACACACCTATATTTAAACAAGTAAGTTAGAAGTTCATCCATATTTAGAAATCTGGAATAATAAGTTAGATAATTGTCTATATTCTAAACTCATGTTTGCCAAATGCCAAAAACGTTTTTTCCAGTATTTGCAATTCACATAAAAAAAATATATAAATGTATATACATATTTGACATCGAATTTATATATTCCAAAGGGAAAGATTTTAAGACTTATTTTTACGATCCGAATTTTCGATCGATAGTGAGAATCCAAAACAATAATACGTACTAAATAAGCTATAATTTCCAAATAAATAAATAATTACTCATTAAATTAAGAAAGTCATTATTTTYCCTGGTTTGGAGTTATCGATACATCGGCGTATGTGATGATCATATTCATACCACAACTTCGGCTTATATAGCCCTAATAATACACATATTTAGGCATTTTATATATTTTTATATACACATATGCAYATGTCTATGAATTAGTAATTAATTGCAACGTAATATGTGTGCATGATGATTTTTCCTTAAAAAAGGAGGGCCTATGTGTATTCGGGCACGTCCTTAATGCTCTTTAATAACTACATACATAGATGTGTACCGAGATAAACAAGCTTTTGTTCTATGTTGATTAACGTATTTATAATGTCTGACGAATTGCCTGTAGTTCTTCAATTTTTCAACTATTATCTTATCAACGCATGTATTACAAGCTTTCAYAAGAAAATTGAAAACATTACTGTATACCTAGAGGTTACGACGTCGAACCGTGTTAGGAACGTGCTCAAAAATACTTATTTTGTAAAATTAGAAAGCATAACTCTCAGAACTTTTATTAAACGGTTTTCGAATATTTTGAATAATAGCTGGTGTTTTTCGGACGTGTGGTTTTCAATTATGCAATACTTTTTAGGAAGTAGGTGTTTTTGACACCTGTTACTTGATGACTGCTCAGTTTGGTTTACCATTTCATATGAACAGACGATCTCTGGTTCGATTCGCGCAACCGTCTATAGCATATTTCTAATCCACGTAAATACTAAAATTTCGATTTTGAAACTAAAAAGTTGTAAAAAAAAACACTGTACATTGCTTCGTAATGTATTGTTGTTGAGCATTTGCATATTTTTGATGTATCTTTAATGAGAACCACTACATATAAATGTTTATTTTGTTGTCTCTAGATCACGCGCTATGTTTTATGGAGMAAATTCTCTAATTACTGATTAGATTAAAACGATATTTTCATACAATTTGAGAAAAGTGTTATTCTGTTTAATAAACACTACTCTGGTCTAAAAATAGTAGATGGAAGCACTCTAGAAAGTTGAAGAAACAGTATTRGTTGTTTTGCATTTTAATACTATGTTAAAACATAAATAAATGTGGGCAATTTAATTGTGGATGGGAAAATAAGCTCACTTAATTTCAGTACGATATCTCAAAGTATTAGCAATATTTTGAGTAAAACTGGTTGTAGGCACAGAGTCTCATATTCAATACAAGAAGCCAATATCGATTGCGATAATACTTGTCAGAAGCGCTATTTGTGATAAGTTACATTTCGATATTTTCATTTATACTCAAATTACCTATAGCAAAATCAAGGAATCCGCTTCAAAAAAAATGTAGGATGAAGGTTATTCGGGTATTAGACCGATTTCATCCATTTCAAAGTAAGCTGTAATATATGAACGTAAAGCCGATAAAGTAGCTTGGGAGATATGAAATATCTTCTAAACGAGAATAGTGTCACGCGCAAACACAAATGTATTAACTGATCTAGAAATTATCATTTTTTAACTCCTGCTTTACAACGATTTTGTGGGTTATGAAAAATGTTTGAGAAACAATACAAAACTAGTGAAACGGATATACGGACCATGAAAACATAATTCGTCTCGCCATACACATACGATCGGTCATCTTTCAGGTTAGAGCCACGTAGCGAACGGACTCATCTCGCCAGCGATTGTCAAATCGTGCAAAATCATGTGGGGGACATTCAAAATACACCATAGTTCACCGCCACGTTGTTATTATTATACTGCGTATTGGTCCTGATGATGGAAGTACATGCGATCCTCTAGAAAATCCAAAGTGCTTGCCCAAGTGGATGCATCCCCTTAGCCAGCTTTTATGTACATATACAGGGTGGCTGATGAAAGCCGCTACCAAAAAAAATTAAATAACATCAAATAGAAAAATTAATCTGGTTAATTTTTTTTTTTATTTTGCAGGTTGACTTTTACATTTAACAAAAATGGATAACTGGGACACTGAAACAAGAATTTGGATTTCCGCCGCTATCACGCAGTGGAGTCCGTAGTTTCGGTTCAAAGAGAGTATAGGCGCACGTTTGGCGGCAATCCTCCGAGCAGATGGACCATAATGAGACTTGTAAACAATTTTGCCGACCATGGGACAGTCAACAGAAGACCTCACCATCGAAACCCTTCAGTTCGAACGGAGGAAAYATTGGGCATTTAAATTCCATTAATTTTAAAASTAATTAAGCTATATTTAAGAAAATTGAATGAGCTTTATTTAACATGAATAATAGAAAAATGAATTCCATACACTGAAAAAAAAAATATTTGAGTTTCTTAATGTAGCAAAATTCATCAGCCTGTACCTGTATGTTACATCGTCAATTAAGTGAATTTTTACACGCACCTGACCATACAATACGCGTGATTAATGTTGATAATGACACTACAAGGGATCAACTAAATAATTAAAAGGCGTGAATAACCTAGAATTTCATTATCTATCTCGTTTGACTTTAGGAAAAATGTAAAATTTCGCATCATATTATTCAGAAAGTTAAGAACTCACTAATTTTAATGTTTCGCACATTTTTCAGTGAGATCATAGCCTAACCTAAACAGCGCAAGAATGGGAAGGAGATGTAATTCAAAAAAATTTCACATTTACTTAAGGTGTACATATCTTAAAAATCTCTCAAAATGTAAATCCGACAAACACTTTTGGAATTATTCAATAATTACCAACGGGTTCTTGCTCGCTCTAAAACGTTCGTGAAAATTTTCAAACTTGGTTTTCCCAAAATTATGGTTTTGAGCGGTAAACACTTTAACTCGAAAACCGCTAATTACATTTCAATGAAATTTATGAAGCTTTTTTGAAAATGTAGTACCTGATCGAAGATTATTTTATTTAAAAAATTTGTTAACATTTAAACAAATTTTCATTAATAAAACTATTTTGTCTGATTGAATTTAGATGAATCTTCAAGGATTAGTAATAGTTACCACAAAGAGCCATTGATATTAAATCATTATTTATGGCAAAGAAATATTTAAAACTGTAACTTTTTCATATCTCTGACTAAACCTTGCCCCTTAATAACTTCTATATTGTGGTATCATCACAAAAATACATTTCCACATATTGACACTCCACCCTAATGCACACACTTATAGACATTGATAATTCTTTTGCCCGTTAGAAATGCCGCGGAAATAATTGTTTATGTGAAATCATATTAAAGCTCGCGATAAAGAGCATAAAGTTAAGTTTATCTCTTACGTGATTATAAAGAAAAAGTTATTTCTTTACCAAAAAAATATAATAAGACCAAAACTCATTAATCACTCAAACATATCTACGTACATAGCGTGTGCTCATGAGCTTGTATGCATTCTACGTTTGCCTGTATTAGAATATTTGTAAGCAAGGGCGTGAATATTAGCGCAGCCTACGACATTGAAGAGGCTGGCGCCCTTAAATTATGGCATGGTTATTGCTATACCATATTAAAGTGAGAGCGCAACAGTGAATTAACACAGAATATAATTGTTATAAATACATTGTACTTTCTTATGTATGTATATATTTAGTTATTTGTGGAAAAGACTTAACTACACCGAGAGTAATGAAAWGCTAATAATTGGTTGTACACAGATTTCTTACTTGTTTGTTGTATGTAAAACATATTTGCTGACCACCCAAAGTAACAATAACGGCGTCTGTGTGTTGGCTAGAGATATCTAGATTTTGCCAGATGACAAACCGGCAATTTTCGAAGAAAAGCAGATGAAGTCATTTGCTCTAGGGTCGTGAAAAATTGCAACAGGAAGCACTAATCTACGCATATCGCGTTAATTCACTTAAGCCCACAGAGGCAATGAAACTGTTGAGTGAACAGGCATGCAGACACCCGATAAGTATGCATATACATATGTACATATAAACAACGTAGCTATATTCTTTTTTATGAATATATAAATTGGCATTTGCTAATATACATACATATGTATGTCCACTATGAGCAGTTGCTGATGCGGCTGACACATTATTTTCTTGCAGACAATCAAATATATTATATGTATATCCACTTCATGCATGATTTTTGTGCAAAACTTTAGCTGTTTCATTAAAGTAGTGTCAAAGTAATTGAACTTACCTTCATCAGTCAGGAGTACAAAACATACGCACCCGCTCACTCTATAAACAAGTATATGGACATACCACGACCACGGCGACGATGACGACGATTCGCTTGTTTAATGGAACACCATATGTCAATTAAATTTTAATCAACCGTATTGATTAATGTATGCCGATTTGATATACAAAAGTTAAATGTAATGTAATATAATATTTTATATACATATGTATATATGTATGTAAATCACGTTACTCTACGCGAATAGGCAAATAGGTTTGGCAGGACACTTGGGGCTGTCGGGTGCAGTCACCATTTGTCACGAGGGCGCACGTATGGTGACGCACTACGCTAAGCTAACAGCTCTGCTCTATTGCACACTTCAATAACAACTACTCTTCGTACTCGCAATGGCTCTACAGTACATTAGCTCTTTGTAGAGTAGTAGAATTTGTTAAGGTGTTGTCAACTAAACGTCAGTTTACTCTTTATTAGGTTAGCTCTAAGTAAGTGCACAATAACTGCCGTTATTTCGGCCCCAATATTTGGTATAAAGTATACGTAATGGCGTACTATTAGAAAATTTTCGGAACAAACTCTATTTGAATATAAGAAAAAAAGAAATAATTATGGAGATAAATACCTTTAATTATAGGAAATAAACACTTTTTTAAATATCGACTTTAAATGTGGAATATAAAGGCTACACCAAGCCAACCACTACAAAATTAATAAACTGCATCCATCCAATTATATTTTTTTAAGAAAAAAGTTTGTAGCCTAGGTAAATATTATAACCTTTCCAATCAAAAGACGTTATTAAYACAGGCCACGACAAAAGCATAGAATACTATATTAATTATATGCTTTATAACATATAATCAGTTTTATTCAAGAGTAAATTTCAAATTTAAAAATGCAAATAAAATTTTACATAATGATAGCAGAATGTGTCGGATTTGGGTATGGTTTTATATACATAAGTGACTATAAGAGTAACCTTTTAAGTTTTTCTCGGAAGTATAATAATTTTTATTCTTTAGCAATAGCACTACTCAACCACTGTGAAAGAAAAATTTGGCGATTGAAGTGCTAATAGACCATTGGGGTATTTGAGGTGTCCTGGTTACAAATTTGAGTTAAAAAATTTTCTGTCACGTACTGCTATTTTTGTCATTTTATCATATGGTGATGGTTTGACACCAGAAAATTTTCACTAWCATGTCCCTTTGAGCAATCCAAGACAGACGAGTAATTGCTATTTGAACTTCTTCATAGTTGGATAATGGAACGTCTGCTTCATCGTCATCGATTGGGGAATCGGGTATACTAAATCCTAGTATAATGCTATCACTGCCACTCAACAGCTGGAAAAGTGTTCTCTCCATAGTTTCCGCATCTTTTCGTAGAAATTTCGAACATTACCCCAGCTTGTCACCTCATCGTCCTCATGCATTTTGTAAATGCGACACGCTTCCCTCTTCAGAAGGATCGAACCATATCTACGAGTTCGCACAAGTGAGGAAAGCTCTCTGAGCGCCATTCACTTGGGAATAGCCAGAAACGATTCTTTTACATATGGCTCAAGTATCCTCTAGATAAATAAAAAAAATTCATTTGTAAGCGAGCTAAAGCAACGGGCGAAACATCCCTGCCGAGGGTTATGCGCTAGATTTGGGATCCGCCAAGTAAAAAACACCCCAATGAAAAGATCAAAACCACTCCAAACGGGTTGAGAATTACGACTGAAGGGTATACRCTTACTTATCTAATATATAATGACTGATTGCATTTACTTTTTATTTTCAAAATCGATAAGACTCCATGATACTTCTTCCATTTCCCTTTGGTAAAAGCGTACGATTTTAGTGGCCTCACTTCCACTTTAATTACATGCTATCTTGAGGTAATCCTAAAACCCTCAATGTCAACAGAAATACTATTTTTAAAAGGAAAAAAGGCAAGAAATACCGCAAGACTTTTTTTACAGACTACAACTACACATAATATGATTTCACATATAATGTTTTGACATTATATTAAAGTATATCCAATATAATACGTTCAATTAATTTACATATTGATCGATATATACGGTATAAGGCCAAGCGCAAGTTTGAAAATATTTTATTAAGTGAATGGGAGATTGACTCCATTTGATCCGGAAGCCGGAAGTTCTAAATCTTTTTATTGGGTATATAGTGCTAAAGGAAATATTGACCCGATTCAATCCATTTTTAAAATAAAGGTTATACTATTATCAGGAAAAGATTGTCTCCTAACTTCAATTATATATTATATATCACACATTGACCAATATTTTCAGTAAAAGGTCAACTATAGACACTGGGGTTACTTTTCAGGTATTTGAGTGATTTAACGCACTTTTAACAATTTTAAACTTATTAGGGTTCGGAGCCACGGTTTTTAAAAACCTTGCTATTGCGATTAATTGTATTAAATTAGAGTTTTGTATCTTAATTTAGTACTTCTTTATGACAATTTATAGGAGGTTTTCCAAGGGACAAGAGTTTCAAGTTTTATCATGCACGGGCGAACAAACAGACATCCGGAGTTCTCTTCATGTTGATCATTTAAATGCACATAGCTTTATACCTCTATCGATTAGTTTTAGGTGTTACAAACAAACGGTAGGCGTACAAGACTATTATACTCTAGAGCAACATGTTGCAAGAGTATTAAAAACTACATTATAGATCAATCTTATATTAAAATTGTAATTCATTTAATTATTCTGATTATTGGCATCTAGAAACTTAAGCCAAATAATCCTTATGAGTTAGATCATATTTATAAATTTAAGCCGCAATTTCGTCGCAAAAAATATAATTTATTATAAATAAGTAACAAAATAAAAACATTTGGGGTATACATTATTAAMAAAGACGTTTTAATTCACCAAATTAAAAAATGCAGAGGTTCAATGGTGGTAAAATTTTGTAGAAGTATTTTTTTCAATTTTTCTTCCAAATACATTTAATTGCTTTAAAAGGACTTACATTATATATTATTTGTAAGAATTTCATCTAAAATAATTTAAATATTTTAAACATATAAAACAGCTAATTATTRAAAATATTTAAGATTACATCTAGCACATACGACAAATCTGTTGCGAAAGAAATTTGTGAAAACTTTTTGGGATTAGTTTCCTTGAGTGACTGCAACTGCTGGTTCAACTGCCGCAAATGTTTGGCCAAATTGGTACAACGTAGCATAGCGACGTACTTAGCACCACTGGAGGCTAATTTCCAAACACCAACACATGCTATCAATTGTTCTTCATACGATACATATATCTGCTCCGCATTTGATGCTGCTGGCGAACACAGTCGTTCGCCAACAATCGTATCAATTGTACAAATAAAGTCGTTGTTTGTCATCAAAGCCGAACGATTACTATCCAAAAAACACATATTGCGCAATATGCGAAGCGTCAATATGCGTACAGTGCTGCTGGGAGGTGACCGTATAATTACATCACAGAGAGCTCGCAAATTGCGCGTATGTGCACCTTCCGGATAGCGTGAAAACAACTCCCAAAACTGCAACCATGAACGCAGTATATCCGGTTTAACTTTAGGCGATTTTAAGTGAAACGGATGCAAGCTATCAAACATGTCCAACATATGTGCCTTTGTTATGGTCACGCGACCCTCTGCACACGAGCAACAATTCATAACTATGCGCAAGCCCGTACTGATAATCGGGAAACTTTCGGCATTGATCGCCTTTACTTTCGTGGTTTCGGCTACGATCAACTTAATGACCAATTGCAGTACTGAGTGCGCATATCCGGAAAACAGCACCGCAAACTGTTTACATACGGCAAATGAATGCTCACTATGATGACAACACACCTGCAGTACCAGCTCTTTTAAGTCACCTGAGTGTGGCAACCACGGCCACAACTGCATTAAGAGCTTGGAAAGTCCTATACTTTGAAGATTATCCGTGAGAGCTGCATCAGCAGCGGCAAACCAATGCAAGTATACGTTTAGCAAAAGTTTAAAATTTTTTATTAAAGTCAGTTTTTTGTTYTCGCCATAACGGCGTACGTAAGTAGTAGCGCAACATTTAAATTGTTCAAAAAATGTATCAAAAATTTGCGTTATTTTATCGAAGAGTTTCAGATTTTTCGCCGCCAACCGTGCGCCTACAGAAATTCTTAGAATCACTCCTAGCGTTTCACTTACTTGCACTTGTGCTTTGGTTGGTGCGTCAGTGAATTTACTCGTCGCTATGGAGTAAAGGTGCTGAAATAGGCGAAACAACTCTACAAAAATAAGAGCAATTGGAGATTTTGTTAGTACTGTTATCGGCGAACTGTTACTGCTCGCATTTTCATTTTCTACTAAATCAATATCGACGCTTAGATCCCCACTGAAGTTGTTATACTGTTCCTGCATCAGGATTTCAGTAAATTTTGTCACTTTTAGCGCGATAATGTCTTTATTTTCCGTTATTGCGACATTGCGTTCCAATGTAACTACAATGTTATTTGATCTATTTTGGCCTTGCCCTTTATTCTGACCTTTGATTAATAATAAACTCAACGCTGCCAAAGAGCATCGTTGCAGCGGTGTATTGAGTTTCTCAACTGAAAAAGCGCGCAACAAATGTCTCACAAGCGATGCCGGCGATTTAGAAATGTTGTCACATAATTTCTCATAAGCCATATCATCTTTACAAAGAACCAACAGCAGCTGCAAAACATTTACAATCACTGCATCTARTATGTCTGGCTGGTCGAATAATTGATAAAAATGTTTAACCCAAACTTGATCACGACACAAGGTGTGCTGCAGTAAAGGAAAATTTGTTGGATAACATGCTCCATATAAGCGGCATATTTCGCCGCACATGACATAGTATTTAGGATTCTCATCCGCGGCTGACATTTTCAGCAATTCATATAATTTTAACATAAAATCACTTTCACACAACTCTTTAGCGAAATCTGGTTTATTTTCCAACATTCTTGAGCATATTTTACAAAAACAACTTATTAAATCACAATTAGTTATGCTGATTGGGGAATTATGATCAAAATGTAAGGGTAAAGTTTGTTCGAATATGCAACAACCTCGTATGGCTTCGTTCGCAAAGAATAGAAATTTATGTCGTGTAAGTAATTGAAATGCATCCTCTTTTTTCTCAGCTCCACTGAGAAAATTGGTAAATAAATTCGCCGCTAACTGACGTACAACTATCGATTCGCCGCCATCTAAAAAAGTGCACAAACAACATGCCATAAAACCGCCAGGCAGATAGGATAACTCATTTTCTAAAAAGTCAATACCAGTTGTTAATGTTGTACTGTTATCATGCGTGTCGTCATAGCGTGAAAAA